GGATCAATACTTCAACAGAGGTAAACTTTCACAATACAAGGAGAGGAGCTAACATACCCTCATTCTGCATTCTGCAAAACCTACTGGATTCTCTGAACTCCTTAATGGCATGTCCTAGAATAATGTTATTAAGAAAACGTTTAAAAAAAAAAAAACAAACTATGCTCCATAAAAGCTAATTAGCAGCTCATCCAACAACTGGAGGGTATTTTTATAGCTGTTATCAATTACTATCTTCTCCAGGGGAAAACAGTAAAAGCAGACAGAACCTGAAATGTGAAGAAATGAGGTGAGCCCTATCTAAAAGCTCAGAGCCTTCTGCTCCTATGACCTCTTGTTTTAGTGTCTGGTCATGGATTAATAATTTCTATCTTCAGTCTTATACCTTCAGAAAGAAAAAAGGTATTAATATAATTTTAAATGGAATTTAATATAATTTTAAATACTATTAGAGGAAGTATAAATTAGAGAAATTTAACATTTTCATATCTCTGTCTCTTTCACAAAACTTTCCTACAGAAAACACTCACACAAGTGTACTTTAAGGATCTTCTCTAAAGTACTGTTCTTAACATGGAAAAATGGGAAACGACCCAAATTTCCAACAGTAAGAGATTGTTTAAATAACCTGTGATGCAATACTATACAGACAGGATGCTCTGTATGTATGGTCATGGAAACATTTTCAAGATATATTAAGTTAAAAATAAAAACCAAGTTGAAAGTTGTTTAGTATTACGCCAGCTGTTATTAACAATCACAATAATAAGAAATATATTTTAACAAAGAAATTTTGGGGGAAAAAAAAATACCTATTTATAGCAGTTTCCCCAGAATATAAGATTAGACCGCACTTTAACTTTCAACATTACACGTCTGTAATGTCTGAACATTCAATAATATGTATTTGTGTATAATCAGAAAAAACAAAGTTTAATTTTAAGTTAATGATATAATTGGAAGGGAAGTAGGAGAAAATCTCACGTATAAAGGGAAAACTTAGTGTGTTAGAAACTGTTCTATATGACCCCTAAAATATCATCAGCCTCTATCTCTCTTTTAGAAGACAGTTAGATCCTTATTCTCAGAACTTCATTAAGCAACACTCATAGATATTGGACAAGCTCCATTAGCATCTCCCATTAGTCACAGCTTCTCAAGATAAAAGTTTAGCCCAAATTCCAGTATTTATCAAATTCAACTGAGCAACACTGTCAATTCCTAAATAGCTGCAGACAAACTGCCAAAGTGTGTCTAATTCTAATTCAAAGTTATTACAGAATTAACAAAAAATACAGGAAACATACCGAGTCTGAAAGTTCTAGAGAGATTTGAAGCATTTTCAATATGGAAATATGAGGAATTAAAGATAAACTTTTTTTTTTTTTTTTGCTGAGGAAGATTCACCCTGAGCTAACATCTGTGCCAATCCTCCTCTATTTTTTTGTATGTGGGACACCTCCACAGCATGGCTGGTGAGTGGGGTAGGTCTGTGCCCAGGATCCGAACCTGCAAACCCAGGCCACCAAAGCAGAGCACATGGAACTTCATCTACTTGGTCACGGAGCCAGGCCTACTGATAACTACATTTGAATCCACAGTCCTGTAATCTATTCAAACATTATAAAAACCAGATAGAAAGAGGAGAGAATTGCCTAGCAAAGTAATTGAGGAATCACAACCAGGGGGAAAATTTCCACCTGCCTGGGGAGGAGTTAAACTTGTGCTGGAAGGGGTTTGTCTCTATAGTTATGTGACCTTGACAAAACATTTAAACTCCTATACCTCAATTTCTTCACCTGCAAAATGAAAGAACTGGGAATAAACAATCTCTGTGGTCCCTTTCAGCTCTAAAATTCTGAAAAGAAACTTTTACTCTAACCTTTCCAAAGGATTTTTTTTTACATAATATAAAATATAAGATATAGGGGCTGGCCCAGTGGCAGAGTGGTTAAGTTCATGCACTCCGCTTCACTGGCCAAGGGTTTGCAAGTTTGGATCCCGAGCACGGACCTAGCACCACTCCTCAAACCATGTTGTGGTGGCATCCCACAGAAAATAGAGGAAGATTGGCACAGATGTTAGCTCAGCAACAATCTTCCTCAAGCAAAAAGAGGAAGATTGGGAACAGATGTTAGCTCAGGGCCAATCTTCCTCACCAAAAAATAAATGAATAAATAAATAAATATATAAAAGATATAAAGGTATAAGGTACATAGCCAAAAACAACAGACCCCTGTCAGGTTCCTCCTTAAGTTTGAGTACCATTCCCCAAAAGAAGCTCCTTCAACTCTTCGAGATGTTTCTTCTGGTAATTACTTCCATATTTGTAAATCACACATTTATATTGCTATTTCCTGATTTCAATTTTAGACATTACCAAAGTTCTTTATTCAGTCTATTGGGGCATTTATGCATCTACTCCACCTCCCCAGGTACAACTACATTGTTGAGATGCAAGGATATAAACATAACATACACATATATATGTATACATATTTATATACACTCCTATCCCCAACGAGCTCACACTTTGGTTAATTAGAAATAAGATCCCATTTCACATCCAAACACTTCACAAGTTGTAGCAGAGAAAAAAATTAAAAGCATTGCTTCTAAATCAGAAATCCTGAATTCAGTTCTGAGTCCACCACATACAGGAGCAAAGTAGGCACCTAAAAGTTCCTTATTCTCTCTGAATCTTATCTGTTTTCTTCCTGTGTCATCTGAATATAACAGCACCCACTACAAAATGGTTAAATTACAAAGCACAAATATGGTACACGTCAAAGTACTTTGTTAATCATAAAGCACTATAAACACATTAATTTCTGTTACTGTCTTTATTAAGAGATCCCTATAAATGAAGTCCCTGAAATTATTGGTTCCTCTTGAACACTGTTCCCCTACCTAGGCTAAAAGTTAAGAGTTGGAATTTGCTGAGAGTAAGAGTGAAATAGATGTAAATTGTGTTCCAAGGCCAGAATCTGAGGGTCCAGCTCTTCAAAGGGCCTATGAACCGCCCTAGGAGACAAAAGTACACAGAATAAAGACCAAGCATCTAAGCAGGGATCCGAGAGAACAATTTTGCTTTAGATTTGCAGAGAGAGGGAGCTTCCTTAACAAAAAAATTTTTTAAACAATACAAGAACATAATTCCAAAAGTCACTCCTCAGGCAACTTTTGCTTCTTCTAATAGGTACCTCTACATTTCTACATAATTTGTTTGTACATCTGCTTCTTGATTTGTCAACATTATCTACTGACTTCCTATTATGGCAGAAAGAATTTGGAGAGAAAGTGTTTTGAACCAAACTTGGGAGGCAACATGCAGAACTGTCCAGCAATGCATTACTCTGACTCTGTAATAGTCCTTTCTTTTCTAGTCTTCGAATGCCTACATTAAAAGTGATACAACCCATAGTATCTCTATGTAGAGGCAAGAAGAAAGCTAGCTGGGCAGTTGGGTCTAAATTATTAAACCACTCTAAATCTCTCTCTGAATCCAGTTCAGAAAAGCTTGGTTTCTCTTGCCCTTTCCACCCTCCCCACATAGTTTAATCTTGTTTCTAAAGCTATAGGACAAATGATAAATGGGACCCCAAACTTAATTTATTTCAAGACAAGCACAGACACAATTCTTATGAGCTCTGTGGAAAGGGATTCACTGGAGCTAAAAGAAAACAGTCTTTAATTATCTGAAAAGTTATCTAAAGCCAACAAGTATGCTGCACTAAAGAGTAGATTTATGGACTGAATCTCCTGCTCAATTTCTGGCCAGAGAAGACCACTGAAGTTCTCCAACCGTGGACTTCGGTTGCAGTACACTAGGTTTGGGCCCCTTCAGGGACAACATCCTGTCTAGTGCTAGGTGTACAAGTGAACTTGAGGTCAGGGAGGTGACCCCGCCAAGCAGGCTAAGGAGAGGAAATCTTTTCTCTCTTTAATCAACAAGATAAAGGTGATTAAGCAGGAATTATTTTTTTCAATGACGTACATAATTCCATCAGGTCTGCTGTGGCTATTAGCAGAGAGCAGCTGACTTCCTAATGAGATGAATTTGATAGCAGGACCCTTTCAGAGAAGAAGCTAAAGAATGGGCCCAATTTACAGGGAAGCAACAATTGGTATGCACTGTTTACCACTACTCCTCAGGGCGGTCTCTCCTCGTTTGGGGCTCCTTCCCCCCGACAGGGAATTTTCCCGTCCCTGGATGGCTAAGGCTGCAGGACCTGCTGAAGGGTGGAAGCCGGAGCAGTTAAGAATGGACGGATCCAGGTAGGTGGGACGGTGCTGGGCTAAGTCATTAGCTACGCTCACGTGATTCCCAAAGTCCCAAGCAAACACAGCTACCGCTGCCACCAACACCTCTCTCTGGCCGGGCTTGAAATAGGACAGCAGCTAGTTCCGCTCCCTAGCAGAAGCGAGGTTTAACAAGGGAGCTTTGTTGAGGTCGGGGCGGGGGACACACACACACACCATCAGTAACAACGATCGCGACTTGAACACAGTTTCATTAGAGAACTTAGGAAACTGAGCGACGGCCACCCAACAAGAAATCCTTACCCCAGAAAAGTGCTGCAAACCTCCGAGTGGCAATGCCTCTCTGTCTCTTGTATAAACGAGGAGGTTTGGAAAGAGAAACTGAGTCCCAGATCTCTTTGCCTTTACCTCTTCCTCCCGTAGGACCCCAGCTCTCTGGCCCCAGGGACCAAGGAAAGGGGTGGAGAGCCCTGACGTCCTTCTCCGTCAAAACAAGCTGGCCCGCTCTCCCCCGGGGTTAGTCGCCGAGTAACGCCTGGTCCCGAAGCTCTGGGAGCCACCTCCTCCCAGCCGTGCCTTGGCCCGACGCAGTCACCTTGTTTGGCATATTCCCAGGGGGCCCCCCATCCCAATACCTGTCCCTGCAGCCCAGCTGGGGGATGCAAGAAAGGGACACCTCGGCTCTCCCGCTCCCTTAACTCCCTCAAGCGCTAATATGAGATCGGCGTGCCACGTACCTGTCAGCGGCCGCGGCTCCTCCTCCCCGCGCGGTGGGGGACTCGCCGGACAAACGTCCCCGGACAGTCCAGAAAGTTTGCGCCGCGGTCCTGGGGACGCGGGTCCCGGAGCCGCCACCCGCGCTAGGCACCGCGAGGAAGGGGGAGCCGGCTCCTCGCCCGGTCCGGCCGCCGCTCGCAGGTCCCCGCCCGGCTCCTCCCCGCGCGGCTCCAACTCCACAGCCGGGCCGGGGGAAGAAAGGAGGAGACGGGGGAAGGTCTGAGCGCAACTTTTCGACGGTGCGTCAGCCGCGGGCAGTGCCGCGCGGGACCCGGGCTCGCCCCCGCCCTCCCCGCGCCCTCGGGAGCGCGGGCAGGGCTGAGCCGGGGCGGGGCCCAACCTGCCCTGCCGGGCCAGGGGAGCGCCGCCCGCCCCGCCCCGCAGCGCCCCGCCCGCCGCCAGCCCCGCCCCTGCCCCGCCCCTGCCCCGGGACGTGCCGCTGCCAGGTGCGCCGGGCTGCGTCGGCCGCGCGGCCGCCCGGCGCCGGTTTCCACGGTGAAGGAGGAGGGGCTTCTGAGGGAAAGTTTCCACCGAAACTTAACCCGGGCGGCGTGGAGGACGCCTCGCCCTTGGGGGCTCGCCTTTCGCCAGGGCCACGCCCCTTCACACACATGCACACACGCACGCACTCACACACACGCACACGCGCACACACCACCAAACAAGAAAATTAACCGAACGGGGGAAGTGCTGCGACGCTGAGGGAGTCCGACACCCCTACACGGCGCGGCCACTCGGGACCCCTCACTCCCCACAGGTCTGCCAGCGGCCGCCGGCGTCCTCTCCCCGCTCCAGTTTCTTTCACCGGCGCCTTTTTTTCCTGAGGCTTGATTTTTAAATGCTAATACAGTCCCGAGAGAGCTGAGTCAAGTGATGGAAACGTTCGCCTGTTGTTCATCCTCCTGGCAAACTCCCTGAAGGGGGCAGGGGGAGCTTTGGGCTCAGCAAACGTCAATCATGTGCCAGGGTTGGGAGGGAGCGGGAGGAGACGGGAACGAGGGTGGCTCTTTTGTGTTTTAAGGGGAGTCAGTGTTATCCGAGTTGTATGTGAGTATATGTGTGTGTGTCACACGTTCACTGGCACTTCTTCCTCCAGAAAATGAGGGCTTTTTAAGTTGGATAGTTCTACGGCAAAAAGGAAACTTCCCCCAACTCAGGACTCTCTGGAAGATGGGAGAGCAGAATCCATTTCCCTAACCCCCTGGGTGGTGGTGGCCGCCTGTGGCGCTGCCCAGCGTCTCAACATCCCTCCCAGAGCCCGGACCTGGGACCTCGGACGGCCTGGCCCCTTGTTTGCAGGACACGCGGAGCTGTGCCCGCTGCTGGGCTGGGCGGCGCAGCCTCCCTCCCCCCGCCCCCCGATTTTTCCGTCTCCCACACCCTCTGCGTGCTTGGGTGGCGAAATCAACGCTCTGCTTTCTGGACTTGAAACCCCGGAGGAGGAAACAAATTCTTGGTTAGAGGCCCTCTTGGCATTTTCAGAGCCCTGTGGTTGGTGTGGCTGAAACTTGAGGTGAGCCTCAATCTAAGCAGGTTGGGCCACACCGCAGCTTGCAAAGGCGGATGTGGAGGGTTTTCTACCGCAGAAGCATCCTGCTGGCGCCTCACCAAGTTCTCCTTTGGAGGAAGTAACTTCCTCCCTTCATTCCTGATGAATGGCATCCGGAGATAACCAAAATCAGGTATATCTAGTTTCAAATTCTCTTTTGCAACCATGCTAGTGGGATGATACAAGCTTCCAGCTGCCTTCTAAGGCTGTCTGCCCCCTCTGCTGTGCTCGAGGACGGCAGCAGGAACGCAGGTTGCACTTGCTGCCAGTACCTCTCAGGACTCACTTCCCTTCCACCTGTAACAAGTGCAGACAAGTGGCTCCTAAGTAAAAGCTGGGGAAGGACAAGGGAGACAGAGATGAAAGTGGAAGCGAGGAAGTTCTGCACAGCAGGTCACCTTGCCCTCCTCTAACAACTGGAACGTGGGGGAATCGTTCGTTTATTCAACCAATATTTATTGAGTGCTTTTTGCACCCTAGGCACTCTTCGAGGGGTCAGGGACACAGGAGAATGAAAACATAAAAATCCTAGCCTTCACGGAGCTTGCCCGTGAAGATGATAAATGAATAAGGAAAATATGTGGATTGCCATATGATTAGAAATGCTATGGGGAAAAATGAAGCAGGGAGGGGGCTTAAGGAGTATGAGGGGTGCTCTTTTAAATAAGGTCATCAAGGAAAGCCTCTGGAGGAGGTGACTTTTGAGCAAAGGCCTGAAAGAGGTTAAGGAGTAAGACATCTGAGCAGACAACTTTTGAGACAGAAAGCACAGCAAGTACAAAAAGCCTGTGGCAGGAATATGCGTGGGTGAGCTAGAACACCCAAGAGGCCAGGGTGGTAGAATGGAGAAGATGAAGTGAGAGAAGTAAGAGATAGGGATGATGTACCTCAGGCGAGGCTTTTACTCCGAGGTGGGAGCCGTTGGAGGGCTTTGTGTAGAAAAGCAGCATCTTCTGACACATTGTAATAGGATCACTGACTGCTGGGAGTAAGAGCTGAAGCAGAGACCAATGAGAAGGCTATTGAAATAAACCAGAAGCAAGAGGCTAATGACTGGGACCAGAGAGGGGCAGAGTGAAGAGCTGACAGGGGTTCCTCACAAATCGTGGGGTAAGAAGAAAAGAAAACAAGGATGACTCTGAGATTTTTGGCCTGAACAGCCGGAAGGATGGAATTGCCATATCAGAGATGAAGAAGACTTCAAAAGGAGCAGGTTAGGGGTAAAATCAAGAAGGCCAAGAGAAGACAGGAAAGAAACTACACATAATGTTAATGATTTTCAATTTCCCCAGCTTATAAAATGAAGAAAATAATACCTAGTTCGTTCGAGTTGTTTTAAGGATAACATGAATTACTGTAGTGAAGTGTCTAGCACAGTACCTGATACAGGGCAGGCACAATGTTAGTTCCTTCTCTGTAAATGTAAATTTCATACATATATCCATTATGCCCTCTGGGAGAGGAACAGAGTCATTGTTTCAGAGAAAATGAGTCTTACTAAAAGTAAAGGAGAGGGAAAAGAGAACAGGAAAGAAAGGACATAAAATGAAAATAAGAAATGAAGTCCTACAAAGGTGCCTCATGCACGCGGTCTGTGATAGTAGTTTCTCCTAAATTCTGCTTCCTCAAGGGAACAAAGTATCAGAACTTGCTAGTTTTGGAAAGGAGTTTGAAATATGAAAAGTTTGTAATTAAGCAGAAAAAATATCCACAACATATGTAATAAGCAAAGAATTTTAGTTGTTATTCCTTATAGAGAATTCTTTCAAATAAATAAGATAGAAAAATAGTCAAAGGAGATGCACAGAGAATTCCAAAAATAATAATAATAAAATATAAATGGCCAATATATTTATTTTAAAAGTTCAACCATACTAATTAAAGCTAGAATGAGAGACAATATTTTCTTATTTATAAATTTGGCAAAGATTAGCAAAAATAATTATGCCTATTGTTGGATGTTAGACAATATCATACCAAGCTGAAGGAAGTATAAATTATAATAATCTTTAGCAATTTGCATCTAAATCTTTAAAATCTGCATACTTTCTGAACCAGAAATTTTACTTCTAAGAATTTATTCTAATATTCAAATATTTGCTAAAAATTTACACATTAGAATGTCTGTTGGTATCATTTAAATGTGGTGAAAAATTAGAAATATCTTAAGTATCCAACAAGAAAGAATTATGGTAAGCATTATATGTTATGATGTAGCCATGTTGTGATATTTAGGCAGATTTTTTTTTTAAGATATTGTTGAGGGGCCAGCCTGGTGGTGCAGCGGTTAAGTGTGCATGTTCTGCTTTGGTGGCCCAGGGTTCACTGGTTTGGATCCCGGGTGTGGACATGGCACCACTTGGCAAGCCATGCTGTGGTAGGCGTCCCACATATAAAGTAGAGGAAGATGGGCATGGATGTTAGCTGAGGGCCAGTCTTCCTCAGCAAAAAGAGAAAGATTGACAGCAGGTGTTAGCTCAGGGCTAATCTTCCTCAAAAAAAAAAAAAAAAAGATATTGTTGAATATCAAATGGAAACATGTTCACAATATATTATTGTATAAAATAAGCCTACTACAAAACAGTATGGAAAGTAAGATTCTCCTTAAAAATGTTAATAATTATCATCTCCATACTGGGATGACAGTTTATTTTTATTGTCTTCTTTGGGCTTTTCTCTATTTCCAAGTTTTTTGCCATAAGCAAGTATCACATTCTCTTAGGAGTGGAATTGCTAGATCATAGGCTGTATACATAATGAGATTTAGTTGATACTGCCTAGAAGTTTTGCGAAGTGGTTATACCAATTTACACTCCTACAGGCAATATATAAGAGTTCTAGTCTGGGGGCCACCGCATGACCTAGTGGTTAAGTTTGGCACTCTCCACTTCAGTGGCCCAGGTTCTCTTCCAGGCCAGGACCTACACCACTCTTTGGTGGCCATGTTGTGGCAGGGACCCACATACAAAATAGAAGAAGATTGGTGCAGATGTTAGCTCAGAGCGAATCTTCCTCAAGCAAAAAGAGGAAGATTGGCAACAGATCTTAGGAAAAAAAAAAAAACAATTAAAAGAGTTTACTCGGCCCCGTGGCTGAGTGGTTAAGTTCGCGTGCTCCACTCCAGCGGCCCAGGGTTTCACCGGTTCAAGTGCTGGGCACGGACATGGCACCACTCATCAGGCCATGCTGACGTGCCATCCCACATGCCACAACTAGAAGGACCCACAACTAAAAGAAAAATACACAACTATGTACCGGGGGGCTTTGGGAGAAAAAGGAAAAATTAAAAAAATACAAAATAAATTAAATTAAATTAAAAAGTTCTGGTTTGGAGCAATGCATTTTTTAAGAGCATACATCCAGGAAATAGCCAATGATTTGAACCCTAACACTTTAGAAGTTACAATAATTAATTAAGCAAAAGTTAGAAATAAGTAAATTGGTTATGAATACATATGTTAGTAACAATATAAACCTTTTCTAAATTGTACTTTTCATTAATTTATCTCTTTTTTTTACCCTCTTTAGCTGCATTATGTATAATATGTCAAAACACTGAAATTAGCTACCTTTAATGCAGAAGCTGGACAAGACGCCCTCCTCTTTTTCTTACCTCCTTTATTCCCACTCAAAAATATAATTATGTCTTAAATTGTATTATACATTTCTCAAATTATTATTTAAAATACCAAAAATCCGTGATTATATGAAAAAAGGAGAGCAGTATCTCATTAGCACATGCACACTTGGACACACTCTTCTTTCACAGAGCTCATGGGACT